TCTGTATTTAAAACACTGTCATCACAGTTGCAGGTATCTGGTCTGCCTTCAAATGAAACCAAATACTATTTCCTTTTAAGAGAGAAAATGTTACACTTGTGACTCTGGAAGAGAGTCATGTATCTGTAAATTAGTATCTGGCAAGTGCCTGAGAAATACCCCCTCCCCATGGTAGTCTTTGTAATATTTTCTTCTGTAAACATTTTAAGGACTTTATTGTTTAGATAGAATTGAGATGCCAACTTTATATGAAATGTGCTTCACCTACAAGAGCTTCGGTGTCAAAATCTGTTTATTTTACATCTGTTTTCTGCCTCCTGTTGTATTCATGCATTCAAAATGAATAAGTTGCTTTTTCATCTCTCTTCTGAATTTTTATATTCATATGACAAAAATGAATATCATCTGTGCACAGTTGCTGTAATATAGAATGATGCAGATATGAGAATAAATTCCAGTCTCAACTGTTGAGAACAAGTATATACAGTAGTCCCCCCTTATCCACAGGAATTCATTCCAAGACCCCCCAGTGGATGCCTGAAACCACAGAAGAGTACCGAATCCTATTATTCCTCTTTTTTGGTATACATACACACCTGTGATAAGGTTTAATTTATAAATTAGGCACAGTAAGAAATTAACAACAAAAACTGATAATAAAATAGAACAATTGTAACAATAAAGTAAGGGTTACTTGAATGCAAGCACTGTGATACCACAACGACTGATCTGATAACCAAGATGGCTACTAAGTGACTGACGGGTGGAAAGCATATACAGCATGGAGACGCTGGACAAAGGAATGATTCACGTTCAGGAAGGGAAGGCATGAGATTTTGGTGCACAGTTTAAAACTTCTGAATTGTTTCTGAAATTTCCCATGTAATATTTTTAAACCATGGTTGATCTCAGGTAACTGAAACCATAGAAAGTGAAACTGTGGATAAGGGAGGACAACTTAGTGTATATATGTATGTGTGATGTGTGTGTGTATATCATATATAAATAATAAATAATTCCAGAATACCTGGAGTAGTGAGTAGCAGAGTGGTTAAGTGCATAGGCCCTGAAACCATCTGCCTGGGTTCAAATCCCAGCTCTACTATTTGCTGGGTGTACAACCTTGGGCATGTTTCTTGACCTTCCTGGCCCCTAAGCTCTTGAGGTTAAATGAGCCAATAGAGACAGAGCACTTAGAGTTGTGGTGGGAATATACATAGTAGTGCTCCCTGAGTGTTAGCTATGATTATCTAAAGTGGATTGTAACATGAGAATATCCCACCAAGGTTAACAATCCTTTCTATCAATAACCAAGCATCTGTAGATTAGATTTTAGAGACCCTTAAGATTTTGTTTTCTTTACAAGTGTTAAAATACCATACCAGGACATTTTTTAAGCAGTTTGACAGCAATCCCCATGTAAATTGATCACATTTTATATTTTCTGTCTTTA